CTCCGCTTCTGCTGGCTGTGCCCTCCACTCACAGCCTCTGTGGGGAGCTCATAAATAATGACTTAGAAAAGAAATGATTTGAGATTACAAAACTTTTTCAAGAGCAAGTCAAGGTGCCAACATTTTGAAAAGCTGACAGATATATCGGGGCAGGTACTTTGTGAGGGATGTGCTTTGTATCTTTGATGTGACAAACATACTGCGGTAAATTCACAAATGTACACTTGCTGCTACCTTTTCCAAAGCCTCTAAGCCATCACCTTTAGCTCAGTCACTTCTCATGCTGAGAGTGGAGAGGAGTAAGGATTACCTCCTTTTGCTAGAAATGCTTTGCCTAGTTCACTGGACTGTTTGCAATGACAATGATGTACAACAGATCCCACAGATTTGGGGAGATGGTATTTTACAGCACTGTTGGATATGAAATTTTTCATGTGGATGTATCCCTCTTCTGGAAGTATTTGTGGGACCCCACTTTTGTTAGGATCATTTTCTGACATAGTCTGGGCAGTTCTTCAAAGAATCCCACAGATGAGAAAGCAAGGCAGAGAGAGACTAAGTGGATTTCCCGTAGATATACAAGAAGTCAGCAGTAGTGCAAGGAGATGAAGAGTGCTAGGAGTGTCTTAACCACTGAACTGTCCTTTTCTCCCCTGTGCAGTGCAGAACACATGGAATACATACCTTTTCAAAGGGCTGATGTTAGGTTAATGATGAATCTTACAAAATGAAGTAGGAAACACATTAATTTTGATGTAGCAAGAAAGTGCTTTCCTAATGAAGTAGTAATTAAATAAGAAGGATAGTTATTAACAAACTGGTAAGTCTAGTGCAGTCTATCCCTCCTATCTGAGCAGTTCTAGCAGCAGTTCTAGGTAACAAAAAGGAGTGTTTCTGACAAGCATGAAGTCCCACCAGAAAAATATAAAAGGAGCAATGTGTCATAAGAATCTTAAACACATGAAACGGTGTCAAATAAATGAAATCAATTTCCAAAAGAGAGTAATAAAGGCTGGAAAAAAGTACCCAGAAAGCCAGAAGACTTTTTTATTTTCTTAATTGGGGTAATTATACTAAAACTGACAGCAAATATTTTCCCAGTAGCAAAAAACACCCACAAACCCCAGCCAGCCGAAATACCACTCTGAGCATGAGATCTATGAAGGTTAAAGGCTTGAGTCTGCCATTAGGAGAGTGCTCCTCTTCTCCCAAGGTCACTCCTTAAATGAGGAGAAGTAATTTTGATTCTGGTCTCCTCACAGTTCAAAGTCAACGCTTATCTTGATTTCAACAGTGCTATATTTAGCAAAGTACTAATATAATTGTATTTGGTCCCAGTCTTGCTCTGTTTGAATGTTAAACAACTCTTAATACTGAGCCCATTGTGCTCTCTCTCTCTCATAGTTTAGGTGATGTATAAAATAACGAGCAGTGTGGACCCACTGGAGCAATCCCTCCTGGAGATTAATGGTGCCAGTGTCAACACTACACATGTTTTAAGGCTTTTACTTCAGACCAGCTTTTGCCTGGATCCCTACTGCCATGGACTGAAATTTCTTTTATTGTTTTCATAGCACGTGAAGAGTTCCTGGAGCACATCTTTGGGTGTAGTTTCATCCAAAAAGGATGCAGTTCATGCAGTCCCAGTGTGAGCCAAATACAGCACATAGGCATGACTGGAGCAACAGGGATGACCTCCAACAAATCACACTGTGCATCAGCCCATGTATAAACTCTCAACTGCTGTTGCCTACTTGTTGTTCCTTCATGGTCTTCATGTCCCGCTCACCAGCTTCTCCATTTATATTTCACTGCATCACGCTAAGGACCTTCTCCCTCAGTTAAGGCCCCTTAGTGGGACAGAAATAATCTGGCAGTCTGAGTTGTGTTGGTGATGTTTGGATTTGAAACCACTCAGTATCTCTTTGCTAATAATTAGAACTTGCAAAGAGGAGAAAAGTGATTTTACAACCTCAGACCAGAAATCTGAGGGACTCAGGGACCTCCTCTCCCTCTGTAATCAGTAATGGGTGCCTGGGAAAGACTTTAATAACAAGACAAGGAAGTGGTAGTGCTTCCTCAGAATACTTTCTTAGCTTCTGAAAAATTCACAGCTCGAGGATTTCCTAAGCCAGAGGCTTTGTCTTTATATCGAATAGCCTTTGGTATGTTTTTTTCTTTTGTGAATTATATAGCTACTTTTTAGATTTATGTTAATTTAAGGATCTAGTGTCCTGCAGGAAAGAGTTTGACACTAGCTTCATGCTGCACAGTTTGAATTTATTAAGAAAAGACTGGGGATGTTAATAAAAGGGCTTCAGATGCCCCCATGCTGCCCCTGCTCACATTAAACCTAGAAATAGGATTGTCTAGCGCATGTGGTGCAGAGTCATCACGCCAAAGTTAAGAGTGTAGGTGGATACAGTGCGTGTGCAAACCCCCCCCAGTTGGGGCTCTGCACTACTCTGTGGGTTTCCGCTGCTGTGAATGGGAAACTCTGCCCAAGCCATGGGATTCAGAGAGACCCATTGTACCCTCTCCGGCTTTTTTCAGAGCCACAAGGACTTCACCCACAAGGTGCTTGGGTATGACCATATTTCTATAGGAGCCACAGTGCTGAATCAAGAGCGCTCAGCTCTTGTGGGAACCAGCCAGCAAGGACTCCACCCTCCCCTTAAATTCTAGCATTCCAAGCCTGGGATTTTACCAGATTGTGTTTGTGATCCCACTTAATTTTTCCAAAAACATTGAAATGCAAACATTTGGCTACCAGGAAAACTTCCCAGTTACTGAAGGGGAAAAGAACACAGTATCCAAATGACTCATGGTTTTGTGGGTGAAGTAACAGTTGTGTGTCATAGCTTGGGATGTAGGTTTGTGGTCCAATGCCACATGGAGTGGATGTGCTTGGGTTGTGAGGTTAATGTAAATGGCTTTGGTAGGAATTCTCCTTTGACTTCCCAGAGCTAATTTGCTTGTTAAGATATCACTGATTGCATGGTGGCAATTAATAAGATAGGGAGGGCACCCACCAGATAAACTAAGCCCTCCTCGACACCAGCTGGGAGCAAGTATGACAAAGCGCTTCTGCTGCTAGAAGAGGTTGGTCCTTCAGGAGGAGTTGCAGGTGTCTGTGGCTGGAGGAACTGTGGGGACTAGGGAGTTTCTGAGGACTGGAAGGAAACCTGGAGGGGGGCAGCAGAAGCCAGCATCCCTAGGAGGTACCTGGTGCCTCTGAAGCTTTGCATTCTTGGGGTAGGTTACCTGAAGAGCTGCTGGATGAGTATACTCTGATGTCTGATGCAGTATTCCGCTGCCTGGTGCCCCCTGCTCTAGCTGACTTGTGTCTGCCAAGGATACCCACAGGTTACTGACTCCCTTGTTCTTGTTTTCCTCTGAATCACTCGGTGACGCTAAGGCAAAACACATAAATGCTAATGCCAGTGGCACCTCTGCATAGCCCCACTTCTACCTTACTTACCACTCTGTCACTCGTATCTGCTGGGATTCAACCACGATGTCTGTTCTAGGAAGCTGCCAGCAGTTACTCACTGACACAGGTGAACAGTTTGCAGATGTGACAAAATACAGGTTGTTTTGTCTGAATTCTCTGTTTTTCCTCTACGTCTCTGTCAGCGGACTTCCTCACCTCTCCCTCTCCTTTCCATCCTTTTGGTACTCTGGTCACTGCTCTGCAGCTGCACAGCCCAGGATCTCGATGGAGCTGCAGATCAGGGCTCACCTCTGGTGATACCTGTTGGGGAGGATGTGTGCCCATGCAGGTGGTGGCCTGTTCTCAGGGGCACTTCACCACCCTGAACATCCATACTGCATGGGATCTAGTGGGTTTGGTGTGCAGGTTAGCAGAGGGAGGAATAAGGGAAACGCCTATGCCCCCTTTCTCCTCCAACCAAACCCTTCCTATAGCCCAGAGCTGTTGGAGAGCATTTTTTGCTACATCCTACTGCTGCTTCCTGCAGCAGAAACATCATGGGGTAAGGTTTCCAGCTTGGGAGACAACAGCAGGGCACTGCCTGAACCCAGCTGTTGGCAGATCGGTTGGCTTTGGGAAACCAGCCAACCTTTTTCAGTCTTCTGGAGCGCTCTGGTTTGCCCGTGAGATTAGAATTTGCAGCATTAGATAAGCACAGATAAATAGAATTTATCCATTTCTAATTTGAACAATCAAATGTTTACCCAGGTTTCAGTGCCTGGCTGGAAGACCAAGGGAGCTTCTTTGTTTGTGGCTCCAGCAGTGCCAGGAGTCAGGACTGGTCCCACGTTTGAAGAATCTTCTTTTTTAAAGCAGTTCAGAGGCTGGGGCTGCTGCTTGGGAAATGGCGGTATTCTTCCTGCAGGCAGATCAATACATTTCAGCTCATTGCACTGCAAGTAACTTTTCATTGTACGTTAAGAATGAGGAAAATAAAAGCCAAGATGGTTGTTATTTTGGTTTTACTTTTATTTTGAATTATTTATTAGGAAATCATTGCTGTCTTCCTTCTCATCAGGAGACAAAATGCCTTTGTCTTCGGTGATTTTTCCTATTAAAAAGAAACAAGGTCTTCCCAGTTTTATTTCTCTCACCCACTTGCTTCTTGGTGCTGAAGTGTAAATCTAGGGTCTCCGCAACTTGAGAAGATGGTCTCCTGCAGTCCTAATGCAGGCAAAGTCCCCACTGGCACCGGTGGAGTCACACCTTATCGGTACATTTCTAACCAGTTTTATAACGACGTAGCAGAGAAGTTATTCATGTTACGAATGATTGCGGGCATTTAAGCAGAGTGTGTTATGGAGGGTTGTAAGTAACATACAGGCTAGCTGGAGTATCATTTTAATTAAGCATTTACTAATTAGCTGGCAAAAATATTAATTCTTTTAAAGTGAATTCTTAATATAACCTGTCACGGGGCAAAAATTCTGCAATTGGCTCTACTATTAATATGAGTTTGAAAACTCAAACTAACAATTCATTTTGATGTTTTTCTTCCTAAATCTAGGTTATCCTGAAGGGGAGGATAAAGAAACTGGCCACCAAGATGGTAATCACTAGTGGAAATGAAGAAGATAAAGGCAGTCAAGAAAAGGAAAGCAAAGAAGAAACTATCTTGGCAATGCTTGGAATTATTGGGACAATTCTGAACCTCATTGTCATCATTTTTGTGTATATTTACACAACGTTGTAGACTAGAAGGCATGCAAATAGACCAGATAAAACGGCCATTAAGAGTCATGACAAACATTGCTGACTATTGACAAGTTGTTTAATCAGAATTGACTCTGTATTATAACACATCATGAAAGCACTGCCTGCAGGCAGCGAAGGCTGAAGCACAATTAATTTAACAAGACTTTTTCACACAGTAACAAGCTTAACTCTTCTGTCCTGCCCTCTTCCTTTTGGTCTGGTTTTCAGTTTGGGGGAAAATGACTGCAATTATGTAAGTTGTAGCTTTGAAGAAATCCACCAGAGATATGTTGTTTTAACACAATTTAAAAAAACCCCAAAACTGTACACTATATAAAATTAGAAATGTATACTGTATACCTGCAAAAATTGAACTCAAAGATAGCTTCATAGCACAGATCACGTGTCTGTTAGGTCAAAACGATTTTTTTCTCTTGCTTTTTGCTTTTACTTATATTGAATCTGACAAGCTTTTTATTTAGAATGAACATATGGTGCAATCAGGAAAAAAACAATTCCATTGAGCAAGGTCTGCCTAAACCTGATAAAATGTTGGGAGAAATACATTACATGGTTATTTTTCCTTTCTCATTTGCTTAACATCTGTGTCTGTTCATACCAATGTTTATAAATATATATTTTTAATAAATGTGCTATATTTTTAGCATGAACCAAATATTTGGAGACACTTGTATTCATGCAGCTAAATTTTGTTTGATGAAGTGCCCTTTTTGACAATGGATGTTATTTTTCTCAGCAATTATACAGTAGTCCTGTTTGCAGCCTTCTCACTGTGGTCTGAAGCAAGCTCACATCATGCTCATATGCATGACTTGAAGTTGGAATGTCAGCTGAAAAGCATTGCTGCTTAATATGGGAAATAGCAAAATATTGTAAGGTGACCTTTGGAGACTGGTTGCAGAAAGAAGGCTCTATTTACAGTTTAAAAAAAAAGGCAAATGAAAGGAATATTGAGGCATCTCACAAAATATTACAAAATTCACAGAATTTATGGCTTTCAAAATCCAGTCACATTCTCTAAGTACTTACATTGAGAGAAGCGAGCAGAGGTTTATGCAGTTGAAAAGAGAAATTTAGAGAGCCTGTAGTGAGGGGCTTAAGAGAAATCCAGACTGTAAATACAGAGTATATTTTAAATGTGAGGATCATTAACTCTTTATGCTTCTCTGACATGTGCTTTAACTGAGGTCGGTGCAGTGAAATTCTCTGACTTGTGTTTTTGACAGGAATGCACAATGAAGATGATCACCATTTTTCTTCAGAGTTCAGTACCTATAAATACATGAAGCATTAAAAATATGAGACCTCAATTCTGCCTCAAGCTGCCTAAGTACATTGCCCATTAACTCTGACATATCCTCTTTAAAAATAGGTCAATTAATTGTTTACTGACTTGTAGTTTGGATTGCATCCTCAGATGCACAAGGGAGATTGCTATTGAAGTCAGCCGGAGCTGTAAGAAGTTTCATCCTAGAGTCTCATTGATTTTAGTTATCAGTTCTGTACCCCTGGAATCAGTAATGAGCTTTGCACCAATTTCCAGTGGTTGGGACTGGTCTCAAAAATACAGAATTTCATTGCAGGATATAAAAGCAAGCCTGGAAAACCCTGAGGGGCACCTCTCATAAACAGAGGTGTTTGGTCTCTTGTGGTATCACACATTCAATAACAAAACCATTAGAAGAAGGGAAAAAGTTAGTAAATAAATTAAGATGAAATTCAATATGAAGACTGAAGGAAAAAAGAGTAAAAATAATCTCATGTTAATGAAAACAAGACAGGGAGAGAGAGGTGAGAAAATGAGCAGAGATTTGAATAAGCGAAGAACTGCACAGAAAGAGGGTGCCAAGCATGCCAGTGTGGTTAAGGAAATATTTATGTTTGGAAGGGCTGGTAGAGCTACAGGTCTTGGAGAGGGTGAGAAACATTAGTGCTACAGCCCAGTGGAGCTGAGTGAGGCTGACCTAGGTTTTTAATTTACAGTTATTTATTCATAATTCTAAGGAATTAGCAAAGTCTGCTTTTTGGTCATCCTGAATGAAAAAAAAATGTCTAAAATATTTTTACCTCCATCCTGCATTTTTTCCTCCAGTTAAACTACTGCTGATGATAGCATGTGGCAATGGCATCAGTGCTCACGTCTCAGAGCACACCTGCACATACTCCAGGCAGCTGGCTAACTCCAGCCTGCCCCTCACATTGGCAGGATCCTCTCTGCAGATGTTTCTCTTGAACCTCTCCTTCTGCAGTAAACACCAAAGCAATCTGCCTAAGGCTCATACCCATCTTCTAAAGGGGAAGCCTGGGAAAGGGCAGTGTCTGCCTCAAGAGGTGAGCTCTGATGCCTGATATTTCTTTGCCTCTCTCTGCATCAGATGATAATACCTGTCATCTTCTTCTGGGCATGAAGATGCTTAATGAATGAAATTTCATTAAGTACTTCTATTAATATTACAAATTAAAGCTCTACATTGTAAAAGAACATATAACACCCCCACTCCCCTAAAGTAAAGTAGCAACTTTTGCTTCTCATCACAGTTGCACTCCTTCAGACATGGGCCAGCATCTTCACCAAGACAAGCACTGCAAATAGCCCAAAGGTGCTTAAGCTGAACTGGTGGATCAAAAAGTCCAAGGACTTTGTGTTTACTCTGTCTTTCCCAACAGAAGACCTGTTAGGGGCAGAGTTTCCAGCTGTGGATTTGCTGTGCTTTACCTGTTAGTCTTAGCGTAGGCAGTGTGTCCAGGTGCCTACTGCCCTCTGCCATCAGCAGCTGTCTGCTGTGTGCTTTGCCACAGGGCTTTTATTGCACCCTGAAATAGGAAGAAAGGCTTATCCCATTCCATAAAAAGTTTAACTCTTAATATTTTAATTTTACAGGTTTCTGTTCACAGATAGTTCTAGAAATATCCTGGGGCAAGTACTCCTTAAGTAGATTCATTAAGTATTCATTGAAATAAAAATGAAGAGTTTCCTTCGAGGGCAATTTCTTTATCTTTTATTTGGTATTCATGAACACTGATATGGGAAAAGTATGTTTTCAAGAATGACTGTGAAAGGGTAATGTTTTATACAAAGATCTGAAAGTATGCCTACCCAGGCAGTCGCACACAGGCCTGCTTTCGGCTGAATGCCAGCTGGAGCCAAATTACCCTCATGCTTTTTTATGTGAGCAGTTTTCAGCATGCACCTATAAGAAATATTCAACTGGGTAGCATATATATCATGGATACCTTATAGTCAGTAACTGCAGTATAAATAGTTGAATAAAACTTCTCATTACAGGTGCTGAATGATAAATCTGTTTTGGCAAGGAAAAAGCTGATAGTCTTATTTTTGGCTTGGCTTGTAGGTAATGCAAATAGTTTCCAAAGTAAATTTTTTTAAATGAAATATTACTCCATTAGTGACAGGAACTTTCATGTTTGCATTTGAGTAGAAGGAAATGAATATTCAATATCTTAATAAGATATGAAAACATCAACTTTTGCTTCTGTCAACTAAGAATACTATTGTATTTTTAAATTACCCTATGTAATTTGATGGTTTGTGTTATGGGAATGAAAAATATTTTCCTGAAGTGATGGGAAAGTGACATTCTCCCCGCTAGTGTCTGGTGTGTTGTCTGGTGGGTACAGAAGACTTTCAAGAAAGAAGATGTAACTATTTTACGTTTTGCTCCTTCTGCTTGCACCTCTGCAGCTATGTGCAGCCCATTGCACCTTAGGACAGTTTTTACATGTACCCAGCCTAGGAGGCTCTGGATACTGCCTTTTTGGTTTATCGTGGTGTGAAAGTCTACTATGGGGCAGAGTTTTATTATTTTAAGGACAGTCAGTAATCATTTCCACGTTATTGTCTGATAATCTAGGGGATACTTTGCTGGTTGGATTCCCAGACCCATCCCTCCCCTGGCCCACAGGTAAAATTTTGACTCAGTAGACACCCAAATACAAAAAAAGCTTCACTTACATCATGATAAAACTTCAGTACAAAGCATCGCTTAATTCCAAGTGTCTTATATTTCCATTTAATCTATATCCTGGAGCTCACACCAAATGCCCCAAGGTCTCATCCGTGTCAGGAGGTTTCATAATTTCTGAGTGAGAATTGCCATTTCAGAGCACATTGTGGCAGAAGCAGAGAACTTGGCCCAGAGAGAGGAATGGGGATAAAAAGTAACTGAATTAAAACTCCAGGGAGGCAGCACTGGAGAATTTACTAATTAAATAGTCTGAGGTTTGGCTGGAATTCTTTGTTTCTGGCTAGCCAGTATTCTGGAGAAAAAATATTAATGTTCCTTGGAAAGTTTCTGGAAGAAATATGTCTAATTGAAAGAAAGAACCTCACTGAAAATGTTTCAACAGCAATCTTCCAAAGAAAACACCGACCAGGCCTCTGAGTGACTCTGGCTTGCTTCCCAAGAGTACTTTTTGGCAGCCTGGGAACACACTGCACATATATGTAATCAACTCTTGTTTACTGAGGGGCTTTGTTTTCTTTGGAGCAGAATGCACAGATTTATGAAGATTTATAAATGTAAAGAATAGTACATTATGCAGCCAACAAAAAAAAGTGCTGTTCACCTTTACTTCCAGCAGATACCCCGCAGACACCCTGCAGAACCTACACTGCTCCCGTGCCTGGCTGTACATTTTGGAGGCTCTTCCCAAAGGGCCTTATAAATTCAGTGTAGCTTTCCTTCCCCACCACTGATCCAAGAGAAACAAAACCTGTTCAGCACGGAAACCTCCACACCAGGCTGAAATCCCACATGCATCCATATGCATTTACCCACATATGAACCACCTGGTATTCAATAAGACTGTCCTTGTCTTAAGTATTAGGTTTGCTTATTTGCATTTCACCTGGGGTCTCAGATGTCGAAAGGCAATAGGGTTGAAAGCACCCAACTCTTTCCAACGGTAGAACTTTACATAACTTAACCGTTACCTACAAAGGTTCCTGTTCATCCTGCAATATGGCTGTGCAGTGCCATGCACATGGCATACAGGCCTCCATGTGTAGTCCCTCACTGACAGAGTATCCATGACTGTGACTGGGGTGGGTTTGGGCTGTAACTGGCCCCTACAGCAGGGTTTTGTACCAAAGCCTGGATCCCAAGTCAAGCTCTGTGGAGTTAAAGGACATCCTGCCTTAGTCACAGAAGGTACTTAGCTATGGTCACAGCGCCAGGATCCCTTCTTCTGCAACCAGTACAAATTCAGCTTAAGATGATCCATGCACCACTCCTCACCCCTTTGGCGGCTGCACAGTTTCCTTCTACCTCGGTGAAGAGA